AAAATAGTTCTCATCGTTTGATTATGGATCGAAATCTAGAGTTTTCTAATTATCGATATTAAACACAATACATCGACAAGATTAAAATGCTGACAAGATGACAAGATTAATATTAAATTTTATACTTTCACGCATCATTTAATGAGCGGTATTCATTTAATGAGCGATTGTGACAAAAAAGTCTGATTTTGGTCTTGAAACAATATAAAATTATTTATTTACATAACAATTTTTTTATTTAATCTTTAAATAATCTTGAGATGCCTACAAATTCTAGTATAAATTTTTTTAGAATTCCTATCAACATAAAATATCTGAAGCCGAAAAGTCATGTGCAAAAGAGCACAATATTAATGTAACGTTTAGTGAGTACGTGTACAATGGCACTGAAAACATTAGAATTAAAATTGGAAAAAACAAATCACATTGTGCAATTGGATGTTTCCTGAAAGGCTTTGGCGTGGTATTGTATTGCTTATTTATTGAATTAATATATACATTACAATAATAAAATCGAAGATTATCACAATTTTTTGTACATAATAAAGTAGATAATTATTTGTTTAATAGATTACGCAGGAAGGTACCTTTAATGCTACAAGCTTTTTGATTTTGTTACCGTACTTGGCGGGAGATCTCAAATTGTATGATGAAGCAAAGAAAACTGTTCAAGGTTGTGACAAAATCAGTAAGAAAAAACATTTATTTATTAAATTATTACACCATTGTTTGCGTGAAGTTAAGATTAATTAATTTGGTCCTAGCGTGTTAGGCTAATAGACCGGGAACTTCCGAGTTTTAGTTTATTGAGAATGATAGGTTTGTTTGAATAAATTGATGTAGTTGAATAATTTTAATACATATATTGTTTAAATCCAAAATTAATATCATTAGTTAATTTACAATAGTTACAATTATTACACAGTGATTGAAGTTAACTTTTCTTTCATATAACGATTTTACAATATTACCAAATTCACAAATATTAATAATTTAAAATATACCTGATAAAAAATCGATGAACCATAGTAGATAAACAGGAGGTGTTACTCAGTCGGTAAAACAGATTTATGGGTTGGTGTCCATGATAAGTACCATCTGTAGATATGGGCGAGCTGTTTTGCCGATAGTAGGTGTTGCCGTAGTTATAGATGACATGTTTTACCGACATTTTGAGGTTATGGATGAGGTTTTTTATCGACTTGGTTGTAGGTGGCGCTGGTGGTGAATTCTGCCGCCATTTTTAAATCTTACTATCCACCATTTTCCCGCTATTTTTAAATCTTACTATTCGCCATTTTTTTAAATCTATCTGCCATTTTCCGGCCATTTTTTTTAAATCTATCCGCCATTTGAATCCACCATCTCGTGGCTGCTATCCGCCATTTTGAATTTGCTCTCCGCCATCTGGTGGCTGCTATCTGAGCCTGAAATCTGCCATTTTGAGTCTGAAATCCGCTATTTTGAGTTGTGAATCCGCCATTTTGAATTTGCTATCTGAAATCCGCCATCTGGTGGCTGCTATCCGCCATTTTGAATCTGATTTCCACCATTTTGAATCTGAATTCAACATTTTGAGGTTAGAAAAAAGCATCCTCAACTATTAACCTGCTTTAGGCTTGCCATTACAGATCAATAGTTCAGGAATACGCATTTGGGGTATGATATATCCACGTTTTATATATTTCAAATGAAGTTATGACAACTACTTGCGAGAAGGATTTTACGCAGCGCCATCTGGTGGCAGTTTGCATTACTTTTAACTGCGTAGTAGATGACGTCATCTGACAGGTCTGAACCTGTTCAAGGTCACGGTAACTGCGTAGTTCTCTTTGTTCTATACCTAACTGCGTAGGAGATGATTCATTCTGTTCTAGAATTTTCTAACTGCGTAGTAGATGACGTCACCAAACAGATTTGAACTTGTTCAAGGTCGCGTAACTGCGTAGTTTTCTTTGTTCTATTTCTAACTGCATAGTAGATGACGTCATCAAACAGGTTTAGACTTGTTTTTGTCAAAGGGGTGGGGGAAATTTCCACGAATTAGATGACTCATACCATTCTAGAATTGTCTAACTGCGTAGTAGATGACGTCATCAGACAGGTTTGAACCTGTTCAAGGTCGTGTAACTGCGCAGTTTTCTTTGTTTTATTTCTAACTACGTAGAAGATGACGTCATCAAACCGGTTTCTAGGTAGAGGAGTGGGGGTAACTGCGCAGTAGATGACTCATTCTGTTCTAGAATTTTCTTACTGCGCAGTAGATGACGTCATCAAACCGGTTTTAGGTAAAGGAGTGGGGGTAACTGCGCAGTATTCTCGGCCTATATAAGCAGCTCGCCGAGAGCGAACTTCACAAAAACGAAATACAAGTCTCCAGTGAAACATCTCTTGTGATTAAAAAGTATTCAGTGTTATATAAAATATAGTGAAGTTCAGTGTTGTGAAGTACGCGAGTATAGTCCAGTGTGCAAAAACTATTGTGAGCATAAACTGTAGTCTAGTGTTCAAAAACTATTGTGTGCGCATAAACTGTAGTCTAGTGTGCATAAACTGTAGTTCAGTGTGTCAAAAACTATCGTGTAAATTCAGTGTGTGTAGTATACATAACCTATAAACAGTGACATAACCTTTAAAAGTGTACATAACCTATAAAAAGTGTACATAACCTATAATATTGTGTAAATAGACAGTAGTGAAGTGATTCTCGTTTCAAAATGGCACAACATAACCTCATCGAGGCTCTCAAAAACTTGGTGGACACTATTGCATTCTCATATGCTGATCTGTTGGATTATGGAGAGCAGCTCACTGATGAACATCGTCAAAGGTGTTTACGAGTGTGTGAGGAGACCATTGAATACTTCAACACAATATTACTGGATCCTGGAACAACAATTCAAGTGAGACGAAGTGTTCAAGCGCACATCAACCAACTCAACTGGTTTGCCGATCAGTTTTCCAGACTCGGTAACCAAGTTGTTGGTGGAGATCTCAACCAAGGAATCAAATGGAAGGACTTGGAGAATGCTTTTGCTGGTAACATCCAGACTGGATGTGTCATTAACCAACGTCACAAAGATCCAGCATCATTTCTCCAGGCTTCACGGGACATCATCATCAACAAGGTACAGAGTGTCTTGAGAGATCTGGCAGGGTTGAAAGTGAATGTTGAACTCTTTTGCACATTCCGGAAACAAGAAGATGTAGAAGAGCGAAAGTCTTTGAGTATGTCTTGAGTAAGTCTTGAGCATGAGGGTTCCGGATGGAGTCTGCTTGGACCGAACAGCTTGGTGGTGACTATGTCAAGATTCGCACCAACCCAAGTTGGAAACTCCACCTTCGTCAGATTACCGAGGGATATTATCAAGAAGAAAGCGGTTACGAACATCTAGAACAATGATGAGTTCTGCTTCACGTGGTGTGTCAACGCTGCCTTGCGTTCCACCAGTATTGGTTCCGGGTGATCCTACAAGTTATCGACACTTCAGCGTCAGATTAAATTATGAAGGTATTCAATTTCCAATCAAACTTAATGATGTACCAAAATTTGAAAAAATGAATGACCTTAGCATTAACGTATATGGTATAGATTCTGAATTCACGGGTAAAAAGTCTGAAAAAAGTACTATTATTCCATTATATTTAAGTAACTTCGAGTCAGAAATACCGAAAATTCATCTATTAATGATTAAAAAAAGTGTGAATTATACTGAAAATTTAGATAATATTGAGTCAGTCTATCACTTTGCATTGATACATAATCTTTCCGGACTAATTAAAAGTCAAATATCTCTAGGTAGACATAGATTATACTTTTGTGATTGTTGTTTGAATCATTTCAAATTAGAAAAATGTTATTTAAAACACCGAGTAGATTGTTTTAAAACTAACAAAGTTCGTATGGAATTTCCTAGTGAAAAAAATAAGATTTTAAAATTCAAAGATTTTAAGTCCAAAGATACTGTACTGTTTGTAGTTTACGCGGATCTAGAATGCACACTCGAACCCCCGGGAGATGATGAAAAACCAGCTCATAAACATGTTCCACACAGTATTGCTTATTATGTACATTGCAGCTATGATAATACACTCTCTAAATTTGAATTAAACCGTTCTCCTGATTGCATCAACTGGTTCGTTAAACAATTAGAGTCGTTAGCTCTAGACTTTGAAAACATTCTAAAGAACCCTATTAAAATGAAACCCTTAACGAAAGAGCAACAAGATGGACACAACCAGGCAACTGAGTGTCACATCTGTGAAAAGCTTATAACATCTCCTACAGATGAAGTTTATGATCATTGTCACTTTACGGGTAACTACAGAGATGCTGCACATAAATCCTGTAACGTTAATTATTAAAAATCTACCATTATCCCAGTTGTCTTTCATAATTTATCCGGCTATGATTCCCACTTCATAATTAAGTCCTTAGCTACAGTATTTGATGGTGAAATTTTATTACTACCGATCAATAAAGAGCGTTACATTTCTTTCACAAAATTAGTTAAAAATACTTCAGTCTCTTTAAGATTTATTGACTCTTTTAGATTTATGGCTTCCAGTTTAGAGAAATTAGCTTCATACCTTGATGACAAAGACAAATAGATTACGCGACTCCACTACCCTGACCCTGATAAATTTAAATTAGCAATACGTAAGGGTGTATTCCCGTATGAGTACATTGACAGTATTGACAGACTAGACGAGACACAGTTACCTGACCAGGATTCATTTTATTCAAAATTAACCAATTCTACCATTTCCGATGACGATTATGCTTTTGCTCAAGTAGTCTGGAACGAGTTTAAAATCAATACGCTTGGAGAGTACTCGGACTTATACTTAAAGACTGATGTCCTTCTCTTGACTGATGTCTTTGAAAACTTTAGACATAGTTGTTTCAAGACATACAATTTAGACGCACCACACTTTTATACAGCACCAGGTCTTTCGAACGCTGCAATGTTAAAGCATACTGAAGTAGAACTTGAACTGTTAACTGATCCTGAGATGCTTCTTTTCATTGAAAAGGGTGTTCGCGGTGGGGTATCGATGTGTGCTAATAGACATGCTGAAGCTAACAACCGGTATATGGGCAAAGATTTTGATTCAAACAACCCTGAAACATACCTGATGTACTATGATGTAAATAATTTGTATGGCGCAGCGATGAGTATGTCTTTACCAAAGGGTAAATTTAAATGGGTTGAAAATGTAGATGATGTAGATCAGTTTTTCAATGATGATGAGAGTGTAGGCTACATCCTTGAAGTAGATCTACACTATCCTGAGAATTTACATGATCTACACAAAGATCTACCGTTATGCCCAGAACATTTTGTACCACTTGGTAGCAAGCAACAAAAACTCACGACAACTCTGTACGATAAAAATAATTATGTTATTCACTATAAAAATTTGAAACAATGTTTAGATTTAGGTTTAGTTCTTAAGAAAATACACCGAGTCTTGAAATTTGAGCAATCAGACTGGCTCAAATCATATATCGATAAAAATACCGCATGCCGAAAACTAGCTAAGAATGAGTTCGAAAAAAACTTTTATAAATTAATGAATAATGCGGTTTTTGGAAAGACGATGGAGAATGTACGAAAATATAAAGATATATATTTAAGAACAAAGTGGCAAGGTCGATACAATGTATCGGATTTAGTATGTAGACCAAACTTCCACAGCCTTACAATTTTTGATGAGGATATGGTTATAGTTAAACTTAAAAAAGCTAGAGTTTGCTTCAACAAGCCGATATATGTAGGGTTTAGTATATTAGATTTATCTAAAATTTATATTTATGACTTTCATTACAATTATGTTATGCAAAATTATGTAAATACCTCAAAATTATTGTACACTGACACAGATAGTCTAATTTACCAATTTAATGTACCCAACATCTATGAAGACATCAAACGTGATATTTCAAGGTTTGATACCTCCGATTACCCGCCTAACAATGTCTTCAACATGCCTCTTGTCAATAAAAAGGTTCTGGGACTCATGAAGAACGAGAACAATGGAAAAATCATGTTCGAGTTCGTGGGTCTCAGAGCCAAATTGTACGCCTTCGAAATTCATGATCCTGAGAAGGAAAAAGACAGGATAAAGAAACGGGCAAAGGGGATCGGAGGATCAGCCTTGAAAACCATCACGTTTGATGACTTCAAGAGATGTCTTTTTGAAAATGTGCTGCTGAAGAAAGAGCAGTACATGATCAAAAGTAAAAAACATCAGGTACACACAATTAAACAAGAGAAACTTGCTCTCAGTTGGGCTGATGACAAACGTCAACTCATTGAAGCAAGCACTGATACTGTGCCTTGGGGTTATAAAGGCTCCTTAGATTTTAAGAAACGGAAACTTGTAGAAGATAACGATGAAAATAATAATAAAAGACAAAAAAATTAGTAATATTAAAAAACAAAGTAAATATAATTTGTGTTTTACATATCTGATTTATTGATCCAACTATTATGTTTAGTATCAAAACCTAGCCATTTAACATAGTATTTATTTCCACGTTTTCTAATTACTTTTTCAACGAGATATACATCTGGATATTTGACTTTGCTGAGTTCTTCGTCGTAAAATCCACCTTCGATTGGATGATCCTGATAGTCCACAAGCTTGTACGTCGTTGGATTCGTATTCTGCACCGACTTGATTGTGAAGATTTCTGTTGTCCAGTTTGGTGTGTATCCTTTGTCAAAAACATGCTTGTACTTGCTGATTCGGACTTTGTCTCCAACTTTAAACTTCTGCTTCTGCTTCGATTTGATTTTCAGCGGTTGATAAATATTTTCCAATAGTTGTTTCTCCTGAGGAGCGGTAACATCAACAGGTTTCATTTTGATGGTACTGTGTATGGTGTTGTTGTAAGTATTCACCAAGTCATCAAGTATATCGGCCCACTTGTAGCTGCCGCGAGCTGTAAACTCTCGCCACATTTTAGTCTTAAGTGTTCTATTGAAACGTTCACATATGGATGCTTTGAGATTGCTGAATGTTGAATACAGATTTATCTTGTGCTGCTTCATCAGATCTTTGAATTCTTTGTTGTAAAACTCTTTACCTGATCAACATGGAGATTCTTAGGTATACGACCTTGCTGGAGTACAGACTTCATAGCACTAGTAATATCTACACCACTTTTAGATTTAATTGGAACTGCCCAGGCATACTTTGAAAATATATCTATGATTGTAAGCAGATACTTGTATCCTTTATTGACTGATGCATATGGAATCATCTCAACCAAGTCAGCTTGCCAAGTCTCATCGAGACCTCGGATGTCAACATGACGCCGTTTATAGTTCCTGCGAGCTGGTTTGTGAAGCTCTTCAGCTATCACTGCTTTTTTGTCGATCATTGAGTTTCTCAGTGAAATATTTGATATTATTTTGGTGAGATGAAAGTACTGCTTTAACTTCCTCAATAGCTGTCTGCAAATTTGTCACAACAGCTTTCAGTATTACTATTTCAGAGTGTAAGTGTGAAATAATCTCTTTCTGTTCACTGTCTATGCTTTTATTCAGTTCAGACATCTGTCTCAGTACAAATTGCACTGTCGCTGCATCATGTTCATTTGAAGGATTACCGAGATTGCACAGTCTTTTATTCTCAATGTTATAGTTTCCATCAGAAGTTACATTGAAACCTCTACCAGCTGGACCTCGTTGAACCGATTTGTCATTGTGCAGAGGACGTCCAAATATATCAATGCTCATAGTTATGAACACTTTGACTGTCAGCGTGTGAATAATATAATTTTCTAGAAGCTTTTAATATATAACCCCAGCCTCCCTAAGCTCTTCAATAATTGACATGATTTCATTCGTGTGACTTGGATTTCCAGCAGCTTGAGATGTCATCAGTAGTCGTAAACGATCAACAAGTTCATTTGGATCATCCCAGTAAACATAGTCCATTGGTAATCTCTGTTTTCTTGAAATTACAATAAAAACAATCATATATTTTGGTAACCCTTTACCGAACTTGGTGAGAAAATCAGCAACGTATTTATTGTACTTTATTGTTATATCTTCATAAATGGTACGATTTGGATCATAACTTTTCCTATGAGTGTTGGTATGTTCAATTATATCCAAGTAGTTGTCCTTATCATCTAGGGTGATGAGTGCATCATCTGGTGATTTTCTAAATAATAATTCCAGCAACCCAGAAGTTATTGGATAATTTTTACCTTTGACACTTA